AATAACAATTATCTCTATAGGTGTGGGGGATAAGTTAGTAAATTGGATAGAAGAATGGCTAGATGGAAGGAAAGCAGAGGGTTGTTACAAATGGAGTTCAGTCAAACTGGATTAATGTAACAAGTAGGGTACCTCAGGGCTCAGTCTTAAGACATTTGATCTTTTTGTTTTACATCAATGACATAGATAAAGCAATAGTCAATAAATTACTTAAATTTGCAGATGATATTAAGGTCTCGAGTGTTGCTAGATGTGAAGAGGATGCTGCTGATTTACAAAAGGATTTAGATCATTTAGTGAGTTGCGCAAATAAATGACAAATGGGTTTTAATTATAATAAATGCAAGATAACGCACGTGGGTTATCATAATTTGAATTATAAGTATGACTTGGATAGGAATAACCTTAACAGTGTCAAGAAAGAAAGGGATATTGATTTCTTAAGCCATCCAAGCAGTGTGCTGTTGCTAATGGTAGGACAAATAGGATTTTAGGTTGTATATAGAGAAATGTTAAATACTAGGCTAATGAAGTTATAATTTCATTGTAAAGGTCAATGGTTAAGCCATATTTAGAGTATTGTGCTCAGTCTTCAGTTCCTTACCTTAGGAAGGATATTGAATTGTTGGAAAGTGTTCAAAGAGAGTTACTAGTATGGTGCTTGGGATGGAGGGGTTGTCATACGAGGAGAGGTTAAGATCTCCCAAACTGTTTTCTCTAGAAAAAAGAAAAGTTGGGCGGAATCTAGTTGGGGTGTTTAAGATTGTAAAGGGAATTGATAGTGTTGATACATCATCTTTTTCATACTTCCAGTGAGAATAGTAGGACTAGGGGACACAAATATAAATTGTGGCAGGGTAGGAGTCATCTCCAACTGAGACAGTTTTATTTTTCTAACAGGGTGGTTGGCCTTTGGAATGGGTAGACGTCGGATGTTGTGGAGGCAGTAAATTTAAGTGAGTTCAAGAGAAAGCTTTATAAGTATATGAACAATAAGGGCTGGAATTAAGACTTTTTAATTTATTTATTAACAGTTTTAGTTTAGTTTAGAGGACGGGACAGCCGAAATGGACCAGTAGGTACCACGTTGTCCCAAAACAGTATGTTATGTTATTATTGTGTAAGTAATATCATTGTTTAATTATCATAGGTCACTTTGGATCTGTAGTGGCTTCTTATTAAGTAATATCATTGTTTAATTATCCTAGGTCACTTTGGATCTGTAGTGGCGTCTTATTAAGTAATATCATTGTTTAATTATCGTAGGTCACTTTGGATCTGTAGTGGCGTCTTATTTCACATTTCTTCGTTGGGTTTTTTGGATCAATTTTTTTATCACTACATTTGTGTGCTGTTTCTTAATGGTACCTGAGGTAAGTACTGGTTTACTTATACCTTTTGGGGAGTTCCCCCGGTGGGACGGCGGTAAGTCTTCAGGGGTTCGATTCCCCTCGGTGGACACAGCAGATAGCCCAATGTGGCTTTGCTATAATAAAAAATACACGCACAGTTTTTGTTGTTTGTTTGTTTGTTATTAAGCACAATGCTACACAATGGGCTATCTGTTCTCTGTCCACCACGGGTAACGAACCCCGGATTCTAACGTTGTAAGCCCGAAGACATGCCGCTGTGCCACTGTGTGGTAAGTTAATAGTAAATGAACGGTACTGTTTTGTTGTTGGTGTTGTTGCTGGATTGAAATCACTTGATCATCAAAATTTCCTTCCTACGCAACTCTTGTTCACAATGCGATCTCAGTAGAACTTTAAGTTGGCTTTTATTTATATATTTATTATATTCATGTAACACATGGTTCTTAATGCTGGAAATTGACGTTTATTTCAAATTTGAATGTTGTTGCATGCGAGTTTACAGCCACCTAGCGGAGGATCCAATATAACCTAAAAAAATTAATACATTAACACTCATATATACCGTTTGAAGTTTTGAATATTCCGTCTATAAATCTGAAAAAAAAAATCTACATTCAGGTTCAATTTGTGGGTACATTCGATGGGATAACTTGATTTATAATTATAATTTCTTGTTCTCCTCTATATAATAGTGTATTTGTTTCTTGTTAAGCATCAAGTTACACAGTGGTCTATCTGTGATCTGCCAACCGGTGGGTATTAAAGCTCGATTTTTAGCGTTATAAGCCCTGAGCCACCAGAGGCGTAAATGATAAAGTAATCTTCTTTTATTTAAGTAATATTACAATTTGACTATTTAGGACTGCCCATATACAATCAAATAGCCATTAAAAATATTGTTTATATTGGAAATGTATTTTTTATTACTTCATAAACACTCCTTAATAGCCATATTTGAATATTGCTGAAATAGCAAATTGTTTTAATGGTACCTTAAACAATAAACAAGCAACTACGAATTAGAAACCAAACACGTAAATGTGGCTATCGAGTTGAACTAAGATGTATAGTCTACACCTATTTTTTTTTCAGGTTCAATATTCAAGATTTCAAATGCTATACATGAGTATAAAACTTCCTAAATTATATTAGGTTATATTGGAGCCACCACTAAGTGTCTTAAAACTCGCATACAAGAACATTAAAATGTGAAATTGTAATTTTACACATTAAGAACCACGTGTTAAACGAATGTAACAAGTATAAGAACCACGTGTTAAACGAATGTAACAAGTATAAGAACCACGTGTTAAACGAATGTAACAAGTATAAAAACCACGTGTTAAACGAATGTAACAAGTATAAGAACCACGTGTTAAACGAATGTAACAAGTATAAGAACCACGTGTTAAACGAATGTAACAAGTATAAAAACCACGTGTTAAACGAATGTAACAAGTATATATAAATAAATGTGTATTGAACAGGAGCAATAACCATAAATAAAGTTTATATATCAACAGGCTTCAACTGAGGATAATTGATCAATAGTTTTGTTTTGTTTGTTTGTTTTTATTTGACAAAATAACTTCCAAACGAACGGAGCAGTAAGCAATAATTAATGTGTTTTTGTTAAATTAAAGATATTAATAAATAATGATGTAAGCAGTAATTGAAACTTTTATGTCAAACTAGATAAATTAATAAATAAGTTTATACATAATGATATAAGCAATTGAAACTTTTATGTTAAACTAGATAAATTAATAAATAAGTTTATACATAATGATATAAGCAATTGAAACTTTTATGTTAAACTATATAAATAATACATAATGATGTAGGCAATTGAAAATTTTATGTCAAACTAGATAAATTAATAAATAATGATGTAAGCAATTGAAACTTTTAAGTTAAACTAGATAAATTAATAAATAAATTAATACATAATGATGTAAGCAATTGAAAATGCTATGTCAAACTAGATAAATTAATAAATAATAATGTAAGCAGTAACTGGAACTTTTATGTTAAACAAAAAGTAATATATGATCAGTACCGAACATGTAAAATAAGAGCCATGTTATTAATAGTAATGCATGACATAAGGCTGTAATATGAAACAAAATATGTAAAATCTATCTGGAATAACGTGATACATTCAGGGCTTCAGTTAAGGAGGAACGAACCGGAGCGCCGTTCCTGATGTTAGAAATATTTATGAAAACATTCCTGTTATAGAACGTCTAAGGACATACGTAAATTTAAAGATAAGTTATGACAATCTAACCAATTCGTATCGTTTATGTAGGCCTACTTTGCGACTTGTCACTCTTCTACATTTGAGTTACTTTTCTGAATCAACGTACATTGTGACGTTATCAAAGTGAGCTCCACTTGATAACTTTACACAATTCAAACCTTGGATATACCCCAAAACGAAACGATTGACAGATGAACCCAGCTACCGTTAGTGAACAGCAGCATAAGAAATTAACTCGCGGAAATAAAATCGCTCGTCTAGAAATTAACTCGCGAAAATAAAATCGCCTGTCTAGAAATTAACTCGCGAAAATAAAATCGCTCGTCTAGAAATTAACTCGCGAAAATAAAATCGCTCGTCTAGAAATTAACTCGCGAAAATAGAATCGCTCGTCTAGAAATTAACTCGCGAAAATAAAATCGCCTGTCTAGAAATTAACTCGCGAAAATAAAATTGGTCGTCTATGGTAAAAACATCTTCCGAGTAAATTATTTGTTTGTTTGTTAGTATTTATGTACAGAGCTACAGAATGGGCTATCTCTACTATGTCCAAAACGTGTATTGAAACCCGGTTTTTGGCGCTATAAACCTCCAAACTTACCGCTGAGCCACTGTGAACCCTTATTAACTGAAAATATCAAATATTAGATGTTTCTGCTATACTGTAAACGAAATCTAAATACAAATACAACGATCTATACGCTTCAAGCTTATCCTTATCTATAGGTAGACTATTAGGTTTTGAGTTTTATAATCACGTAGTGTTAGTTACAGACTACAGGTGTTCTTTTCCTTGTTAGGTTTTGCGAGGCCAAGATGACCCAACAGGGATGCGGAAAGAAATTGAGACTGAAGAACAAGATAGTGCTTTAAACTTGAAGGCAATATGGGACTTCGAGGTCAGTAGAACCATAACGAGCTTATAAATCATATATTTATATCACGAGGTCCATAGAACCATAAGAAACTTATAAATCATATATTTATATCACGAGGTCCATAGAACCATAAGAAGCTTATAAATCATATATTTATATCATGAGGTCCATAGAACTATAAAAAGCTTATAAATCACATATTTATATCACGAGGTCAGTAGAACCATAACGAGTTTATTAAAAATATATTTATATCACGAGATCAGTAGACCCATGACAAAATAAGTTTATACAAAGTGCATTAATATCACGAGGTCAATAGATCCATGATAACTTAAGTGTATATGAAATGTATGTGTTTCAAGGCCAGTAGAACCACGACAACATGAGTTTGTGTAAAGTGTATTTATTTCATGAGGTCAGTAGATCTATGACAAATGAGTTTCTATAGAATGTGTTTATTTCAC